AGTGATCTCAAGTAAAATGATTTAACAGCTCTGTATCTCAGCTTCCTCATCTCAAAATGGGAGACAACAGAAATAGAAAATAACTATAGCCGCTGTCAAGATCAAGTGGGAAATTCTGTAAAACACTTGAAAGAGCCTGAACATCACTAGATGCTAACTATTCATAATTATTCTTATCCCCATATATTTGAACACGTCATTGAACTGCTACCTTTTATTTTAAAACCTCAAATGTGTTTGCCTTGTTTCTTCACATAGTATCTACCGTGTCATGTCCACTTATTAAGCAGGTCAGCAAAAGTGGTTATGTGATTCAACTTAATAAAGGGAAAGAAAAATAATGAAGTAACCAAATCAGTAAGATATTTTGTTCACTTGAAGATATGTACCTTGTAGTCTTGAAATGTTGATGAAGAAAGCTCAGTGCTTAAAATTCTGTATTTTCAGCAATAAATTAAACTTAGATTTTTACATATTCTCAGATACTGTCTGCTTCAAAGTGAACAGGCTTCAAATTTGTCAAAGTCTTCGTCACTTTTTTTCTCTCCTGAGGAATGTTTTATCAGTATTAGCTGGAAAGGAACTGGAAATCTTGTCTTCTGTTTGACTCTACCTAAATGATAATTCATGGGGCTTCTCAGGTCGCACTCATGGTAAAGAACCCACCTGCCAAAGGAGATATGAGAGATGCAGTTCGATCCCTGGGTCAGGAAGATCCCCTGGAGGAAGGCATGGCAACCCACTCCAGTATTCTTGCCGGGAGAATCCCATGGACAGAGGAGCCTGGCTGGCTACTGTCCATAGGGCTGCAAAGAGTCAGACACCACTAAATCTACTTAGCACACAGGCATGCAAATGGGAATTCACAGATCCTTTTGATTGTTGCCCAGACAATAGAAAATAAAATCAAGAAAAGGCAGTAATCAAACTTAGAGAATGACTTGTGATTGTGGGGAGTTGGGAGAAGAATGAGGGGAAGGAACAGTTAGGGAGTTTGGGATGGACATGCACACACTGCTATATTTAAAATGGATAACCAACAGAGGGAACTCTGCTCAGTGTTATGTGGCAGTCTGGATGGGAGGGGAGTTTGGGGGAAAATGGATACATGTATTTGTAAGGCTGAGTCCCTTTGCTGTCCACCTGAAGCTGTCACAACACTGTTAACTGGTTATACTACAATATAAAATGAAAAGTTTTTCAAAAATAAAGCAGTGATATTAATTTTTATCTTAAATGAATGTAAGTGAATAGCAGATGAAATTAATAAATACAAGGGGAAAAGAACCAAATTCCACCAGCGCACATTTCTTGGACTTCATGAGGAATGTGTCATTGGCTTCCCTTCTTTATCCTATATGATTCCAACAAACTAAGCTTTTCCAACTGGCAAGTTCTTAGTGCTGATGTAATGTTGCCTGTCCCTGGACAGCTGAGCTCAGCAGCTCTAGTTCCATTTTTCCTTTCCAAAGAATAGCTAAAGAAACATTCTTTGGATAAGTGTAATATGTTTGCTACGTTACAAGAAATTTTGTTCACATTTTCCTCTATAGCTCTGTTTATTGCCCCATTATTTCTATAGATTTGATTTATTTGGGGCCAGGTGCAAATTTTAATAAAAAGAAAAAAGTTCAAACCAGCCCAGAGCAGTCTAAAGGAGGCTCTAACATTCCAGAAAAGACATTTTCATTTCATGTATGCACAGAGTTTAGTCCACCGTTCAGACCTCGATTGATGCATTTATTTTTAATATGAGAGGGTTTTCCCTCTTTCTCCTCCTCCTTTCTCTTCTCCTTTTTTACTCCTTTCATTCTCTCCCTCCTCCTCCCTGCCAGCCTCCCTCCCCTCTACCTCCTCTCCCCCTCCCTCTTCTTGACTAAAAAATAGATAATGTATTCAATTGACACAAAGGGTAATTCTTTGATAAGTTTGTTTTCTTAAAGAAAGAGGCAATAATATACACAACTCTGTAACTTTATCCTGACGATGTATCATGGATGTTCCTCAAAGTCAATACTAAAACCTACCACATTATTTTCAATACCAGGAAAATATTCTATAGTATGGGTAGTGTACAATTTTTCAACCAATCTCTAGATGAATGGTCAGGTCGCTTTTAGCTTTATTTTCCACTATCAAGAAGAAATTTAATATTTTTGAATGTATGTCTTTATATACAGGTACTTTTGGTTCTATAGAGTGAAATAAAAAATGTAAGACAAATGGATTAAACAATAACATATTTATACATATATTTAACATATATTTATACATATATACATATGTATAAAATATATTTAACATATATTTATATATTTATATAGATCTCTATAGTAACATTTTCATAGAGGTATAGATACTGCCATAACTTTATCTTTTAAAATATCATTTTGGCATTCCATTTTCTGATTTTTTCCTCAAATTCATGAGAGAACATTGTGTGAGCTTTGTCCATCATGCAAATGATCATATTTATAGACTCAGTTGTAGTTGGTAGCATCAGTAGAACAAAGTTTTACTAATCATATTTCTATTTAGATCATTTTACAAAGATTCCTTTGTTTCTGAAATTTTATAATAAACCAAGTCTATCAAGGTTTTTGGGTTTGTTTTTTTTTTTTGCTTAATCTCAAATATGGTCTAGATATTGAGTCAGCAATTTTTTTTTTATTAGTGCTATATACAAGGTAGCTCAGATGGTAAAGAATCTTCCTGTAATGCAGGAGACTGGGGTTCGATCCTTAGGTTGGGAAGATCCCCTGGAGAAGGAAATTACAACCCACTCCAGTATTCTTGCCTGGAGAATCCCATGGCCAGAGGAGCCTGGTGGGCTCTAGTCCATGGGGTTGCAAAGAGTCAGACACAACTGAGTGACTAACACTTTGACTTTACACACTTTTACTATATATAAAATATACATCGTGGGCCTATTCTGAAATAAAGGTGAGAATTTTTTTCTACTTTTTGGCTCTGAATCAATGGTTTATTGGCTAGCCTCTCAAAGTTTTTTAACTTGAAAATGTGTCCACTTGACATAGAATAATTTTTAATAAGAAAAATTCTAGGATCTCAAAAAGACCATCTCTTTTGTATTCACTGATCATCAACATGTATCATTTCATCGAATTCATAATAACCTATGATACATATTTATAGATAAGGAAACAGACTGGAAAAGGTTAAGTAACTTGTTCAATGCCGCACAGCAAGTAGGAAAACCCAGATTTTACTCCATTGTCTGTCTGATTTTGAGTCCATATTCTGTACGCAAACATGCCCCTAGTTTCCTGTTTAACTTGACACATTGACCATCACCTGTTTTGGTCTCAAACTTTTTTCTTTTCTTGGTTTTGAGTTACATCTCCATCTTAGCTGCCAGTGGTCAATGGTGATGAAGGTGCCATCGACTAGAGTATTTCTACACAACTGGCATGTAATTTTGACTTAATGTGTACTGAGCCCTCTTGTCCACTCTTGGAGAAGGAGGAGGATGTTTCAGGGCCAGTTAAGCTCTCCTTCTTCTGGGGTTGACATTTTTTCCAGAGCCCTGATGATGGCTGCTGGCAAGACTACTTTCCATGGAACATATATCAGCCTCAGTCTTCATCCTCCCGTTACTGAAGATCTTTTTCACCCCAGCATGTTAAAGCTACTCAGTTAACACTAAATCAGTCTCATGTGACATGCTTGCTAGATGAACACTTTTCTCCCTTTTGTTTCTTTAACCCTAAGGCTTCTCTGGGGAACTAATACCATTTATCTCTGAGACTTCCAAAAGACATGATGGAAAGTACCTCAGATCTCTCCTATTTAATAAGCTGTCAATGAGGGGAGGGTTAGTGACCTGCTTCCAGTCCTTATTGTATTAAATTAAGGTTCTACTTGAATAATTTCTTCACTAATAATTCTAGAAATTTTTCGACAGTGGAAAATTTAAGGAAGAGTCATATCATTTTAAGAGAGAACACATTCTCTCCCTTGGATTGTCGTGAAATACACAGCCTTTTGTAAAATCGTCAAAAGGGTTTTCTTTCCTTTTTTTTTTTTTAATACTTAATATGCCATCATGTATATAATTCTTTAATTGGGTAATAGCATTTTCCTCTTTCTCATAGCAGTAGGTTTTTTTAAATATGGACATACATGAAAACACAGACTCATTGTTTTAAAAAAATTAACACAGGAAGAGGACTAACTCAGATAAGTTTGGGATGAAAATCTCCTGGGAGTGGAGCAATAGAGATAGACGGTCTTGTAAATGGCAGGAAATCTTTCTCTCAATTCTTTGATTGCCATCCAAGTCTTTGGGGAGGAAATAAAGCATCAGGCAGAACCTATAGTTTGGCACGTTGAGGTTAAGGTTGAACCACTGCCTGCTAGTCCCTTCCCCAGCATCACAACCCCTCTTTGACAAGATGGACTGACTATTAACCAAGGCTGTGAAGCAAGCCGGAAGGACCCCTGAAGCTGGTGCCAAGCCAGGGCGCCTTGGGCTGGTACAAGCAAAGCGGCTAAAACCACAGAGGTGCTGCGAGTGGCTTCTCGCCCCGGGACGCTGCCCGATGCGCACAAGCTCTCACACAAGTCTGCCCAGCGAAGGGCATTCCCATAACTGCACGCACCCAGGCTAAACTGTGCACCCTCACACCCCAAATTCAGAACGCAGAGGGCCTGACACCCTTGATGCACTTTCCGCAGAGCAAGCAAGAGCTTCCCTTCTTTTTCCCTTCTTCCAAGTTGCCAGCCCTGGGACTGGGTGGCACGTGGGAGCGACTCGAGCCTTCTCCGTGTTGCCCTGGGACCTGGGGGCACTCCGGCGTGTCTAAGAGACGCCCAGGCAACCCGCGCTGCTTCGACGCTCCCAGAGAGGACAAAGGGGGTCCGCATCCCAGTAAAGAATCTGCAGCCTGCAAGGTGATGGGTCCCTGGGCCGGCCGAGACTGCCCCAGGGGAGCGTCCCAGGAACTCGGAGCGCCCTCCCTCTCCCGGGGTACGCTCACCATTTGTAGCCTCTGCCGCGCTTGAATTTGAGGGTCAGCGCCGTTTCCAGAAACAGCAAGAGATTGAGCAGCGCCAGCAGCCAGTACCACGGCTCCTTCTTCACCGCGGTCACTCGCCAGACTCCAACCAGCGAGTGCAGCACGAAGAGGAGCCGGGTGGCCAGGGCGTTGAGCAGGACCAGTCCCTCCATGCCGCCCGGAGCGCGCGCGCTGCCGGCGCCCCGCAGACCCGGCCCGGAGCCGGGGGCGGAACGTGACAGCTCCGAGACCTGCGGCGGCTGCAGTCCTCTCGCCCTCCCAGAACCGGAGAGAGCCGAGCGCCCCTCCCCCAAACTTCCTGAGAACTCTCCAGAGAGGAGATGCTAGCCCCAGCTTTCCAGGCTTTCCGGGGAGTGTGAGGCTGCCCTGCTCCGGCTCCCAGGCGTTGTTCTCCTGCTTTTGTCCATCTCCCCTCCCAATCCCTGGGGGTCCTCTTTCCATCCCTGCCTTGACCCCTCACCCCTCAGGCTGCCGTGGGGTCACCGAGAACTTCCCGCATTGTAAAGAGAAGGGAGGTGCGCTGAAAGGCGTGGGGCTGCACACCAGAAAGGGGGAGGAGGCGCGCTGCGGAGTGTCCCTTACTTTTCCACGGAAGTACTTTCATTCACTCACATGTTGTATGGGAACCAACCCGGTCTCCTGATGACTCTGATGGGATGCAGGAGAGCCAGGGAAGCAGGCAGGTTTAGATCTACGGATCCAGCCCAAGTTGAAGAATTAAAACTTCCCTGGACTAGAGGAAATGAGGCGGGCTAGGTTTTTTTGCAGAGCTCTCAGTACCTCACTTAGCAAGATAGGTAGCTGGGGTTAGCTCCACTCTTAGGACATGTTTTATTAAAGCAAAGGGATATTCTTTATTATGTCTCCCCAACCCTCACCCACTACTCTGACTATTTTTTTTCCTAAAGGAAATAGAGTGGCAAAACAGGAAGGCAGGGGGACAGTGCAGAGAAGATAAAAGATAAAGCCAGGCTTAGATTGGAAGGAGAAATTCATGGAGTGGGGAACTGTACCCTTGACATCAATGACTAATGGAGTAAACTGCCTTTCCAGCACCCAAGGCAAAGAGGAAACTGAAGTCAGAGTTTTCCAAAATACCTCCATGATTTTTGTTTCCTTGTTTGGTCTCCGACCACCTGTACCACTGTTTACTTAACATTTTTTGTTAAAAGAACTCAAATTTTTACTGAAATAATGTTTAAAGGAAACTTTCTATCACTTGTAAATGGAATATCAGTGTAGTAGGCTACAGATGGGAAATAATTGCAAAAAATAAATCAGATAAAATGAAGCTAAGTTACTGAGATCTTGCTAGAGATTAACTATTACCTTCCAAGGCTCTGTGCCTCAGCTTCCCTCTTTCTGGGAAAATAAAGACATGCTAGTTCTGGGAAAGATTGAGGGCAGGAGGAGAAGGGGATGACAGAGGATGAGATGGCTGGATAGCATCACCGACTCCATGGACATGAGTTTGAGTAAACTCCGGGAGTTGGTGATGGACAGGGAGGCCTGGCATGCTGCGATTCATGGGGTCGCCAAGAGTCGGACACGGCTGAGCGACTGAACTGAACTGAGTCCTGTTACTACCGAGCAGAAATACTCTCTTGCCCACATTAGTAAAATTAAAAAGTATAATTCAAAGAGAATATATCTTGGTTAGGTTTATTCAACTGAAAGTCACCCCATACCTTTCTTAAAATTCGGTTGAAATTTCTGAAGTATGTGATTACTGTCTTTAGCAGGTGAAAAAAAGATCCAACTGCTTAAAAGAAGTTCACTTCTTTCTGGTAATGTGGTTAGCGAGATTTCTTTTGTTCCTGTGGGTCTGCACTCTCCCATATCTTACAGGAAACCCAGTAGTGATATCCTGGAGCTGTTTATTATGTGCCCTTCAGTGTAGGCTGATGTCACTGTGCCCAGCGAATGTAGAAGACTGGCGCATGAGGGCACATAGACCACACAGTGGGGGGTAGCACAGTATGGACACTGGAGCCCCAACCCTGAGGCAGCTGGCTGTCTCGGACTCCTGGCTCAGCCACTTAGCTGCACTGTAGCCTTTGTACCTCAGTTTCCTCATCTGTAAATGGGGTATGAAGACTCCTCAACCATCTCTTGACTCATGGGGCCATTGTGGGTATAAAATGAGTTAATACAGGGGTCCCTGGACTGCGGGATCTAATGCCAGTTGAGCTGATGTAATAATAATAGAAATAAAGTGCACAACAAATGTAATGCACTTGAGTCATCCTGAAACCACCTTCCCTCTCACCTGGTCTGTGGAAAAATTTTCTCCCATGAAACCGGTCCCTGGTGCTAAAAAGTTTGGGGACCACTGAATTAATTCATATAAAGCACCTGGCAGGTCATAAGAGCCTGGTCAACCTTGGGACTTACTGCCTAGATCAGGGTAGTTAGTCCAGGGGACTGCTCTTTGAAGATCTGTGACAAGTAATAATAAACGTGGAGAGAAAAATGTGACATTCCTAAGACCTGTCAAAATCCTCTAGTCCAACACAACCAGGAACACTCTGTTGCTGAACAAATTTGTTTTATTTCTATTTTAGGGAGGGAGTACACACTCCATGCAGAACTGTGGGGCATCTCACTAAGAAGTTGTTAGAGAGGTTGGAAAAGACTTACTAGAAAAGACTGGTCTTTTGTTAGGTGATTTTAAAGAGGGTTGAAAAAGGCATGGCTTTACTCTAAATTGGATACTATCAGGAATATGGATTAATAAGTCTAAGGTTGGGTGTCTTCATAAAGCTAATTTAGATCAGTGGGGAATGTGTGGTCTTTTTTTGTGGTTTGAACAATGCTAAAGTTTTGTCTGTGTTCAGTCATGATTGCAGAGTGATCCACTTTTTGTCTCGATCCATCACTCTCACAGAGACCTTGCTTGATATTCTGTGAAATGTTTTTGTTCACCAGGAGGACACCAAGGCCTGACTACAGTGCCAGACTAGCTGCCTCCTTTAGGAGACTGCTTTTCTCTTCCTCAGTCCTCCTAGGTGATGCCATCTAACCATCTCATCTTCTGTCGTCCCCTTCTCCTCCTGCTTTCAATCTTTCTCAGTATCAGGGTCTTTTCCACTAAGTCAGTTCTTCGTGTCAGGTGGCCAAAGTATTGGAGTTTCAGCTTCAACATCAATCCTTCCAGTGAACACCCAGGACTGATCTCCTTTAGGATGGACTGGTTGGATCTCCTTGCAGTCCAAGGGACTCTCAAGAGTCTCCTCCAACACCATAGTTCAAAAGCATCAATTCTTTGACACTCAGCTTTGTTTATAGTCCAACTCTCACATCCATACATGACTACCAGAAAAACTATAGCTTTGACTAGATGGACCTTTGTTGGCAAAGTAATGTCTTTGCTTTTTAGTACGCTATCTAGGTTGGTCATAACTTTTCTTCCAAGGAACAAGTGTCTTCTAATCTCATGGCTGCAGTCACCATTTGCAGTGATTTTGGAGCCCCCCAAAATAAAATCTGTCACTGTTTCCATTGTTTTCCCATCTATTCGCCATGAAATGATGGGACTGGATGCTATGATTTTAGTTTTTTGAATGTTGAGTTTTAAGCCAATTTTTTTCACTCTCCTCTTTCACCTTCATCAAGAGGCTCTTTAGCTCCTCTTCACTTTCTGCCATAAGGGTGGTGTCATCTGCATATCTGAGATTATTGATATTTCTCCCAGCAATCTTTTTTTCTTATCCCAGCAATCTTGATTCCAGTTTGTGCTTCACCCAGCCCAGCATTTCACATGAGGTACTCTGCATATAAGTTAAATAAGCAGGGTGACAGTATACAGCCTTGACATAATCCTTTCCCAATTTAGAACCAGTTTAGTTCTTTTTTATCCTTTAAGAAAACATCCTTCTTGCTTCATTCTGAGCAGGGCAGTTTGAACAGGAGATGAAGGAGGCATGGCAGGCATATTGACTGACACACCTAGTACCATCTAGCCCTGGGGTTGACCCATATAAACCCTACACCTACAGTGTAGTTGCCCCTGCCTGATACTATCCAAATATCATGCACTTATGGACACACTTATGGCCTCTCAATAGCGATGCCTACCAAAGTCATGTCTACATCCAGAGCCACCAAAGTTGCAGGCTGGTCTCAAAAGTCACAACCTCCTTTTAGTATTCATTTCTCCCTTAGCCCCATTTTGATCCTATTCAGACATCACTTTAATGCACACACTCAGTAAAAGTGATGTCAAAGTAAGGAGGTTTCCCCTGAGCCTCTGAGAGCTGGTGCTTAACATATCTCATTCAGGCCTTGGTAGAACTGTCTTTACACCATCTGCCAGCCCTGGTTAATGCAAAGATCCACATCCATTCCAAGGATGCTCTGATTCTCTTTACACCCTTACTGGGAGTCTCCCTCAGCCCACCCCCATCTTTCTTTAAAGAACATTTCTCAGATTTTAGCTGGAGATCATTGATGACCCTAGGTAAGGAGTAGAGATGGTCCCCAATATAGAAGGTCTGAATATAGTTACTGAATAAATACCTCAAGCATAACTTCTCTTTGCACTTGCTGATGTGACTTAAGCTTCTTAGGTATTCTCATAGAAAGAACTGTGCTCACCTTGTTCTCTTAGACTGTTTTCTTTTGCTCTGGTATCTCCATTGACCCACTCCAAATGTATTCTATCCTGAAACTCCTCAAAATGTCCAGTCCATAATGCTTTCTAGCAGTGTTTTTAATTGCATCCTTTCTGGCTTTAACAATATTTTCTATTATTTCAGAGGTGAAGTCCTAGCTCTTACTTCACGAACTTTAACTAGGAAACTCACAGATTTATTTGCTCTTCTGAAACGTATGGATTAAATAGGAACTTTGCAGCTATTGTACATTATGTATAACAGTAGAGGAAACACAGAGCTTTACTAAGTTAGTAATAACCATAATAATTACTCTTCTTAAAAAAAGTAAAAGTCACTGGTAATTGTCAATCTTCAGACACTTTTAAAGCTAGCAAGAAAGAAGAATCTGAAGTGTAGGCGAAGGGTTTGGAGTGAGGCTGCCTTCAAGTTGCCTTCGGCAGGCCTTGACACCATCACTTAAGTGATCGTTGGCAAGTTATCTAATCTCCTTGAGCCTTGTTTTTTTCATCTATAAGATAAGAATAATGTCAATACCT